GAAGGGCTGGGATGGGATTTTCTGCTTCGACAGCCACTGCACCCTGCTTGTCCTGGGGCTGTCAAGTATTTTTATTCAAACCTTCGAAGCCAAGGAGTCAGCACCAGATGTTTTTCAACTGTGGTCTATGGTCATTTACTGACCATCCCTGTAGCAGCACTAAGCGGGATATTAGGTTTCCCCACTCAAGGGAATGACATTGCTCATCCCTCTGAGTTCTGGAAACATGAGTTCAAGCTCCCTGTTGAGTATGGGAACTTCTCAACCGAGCCAACTGGTGGCTCAGATGTGCCTATTCCTGTTGAATGGCTGCCTCCAAGACTCAGGGTCTTCCATCACTTCATCACTCATGTGTTTTTCCCTCGTTCCTTCAACCTTGACCGGGTGCTGCCCATGGATCTTTGGATCATCTCAAGTGCTACTGCTGGGAGAAAGCTGGATTTCTGCTCCCTCCTGTTTTCAAACCTCCTACCTGTAGGAGATGAGCATTATCAAGGACTGCTTCCTTTTGGGTCTCTGATCACTCGAATGCTTATAAATCTTGGAGTAGACCTGTCTGACTTCCGCAGCATTTCCTCCACCATGTACGTGAGCGCACTCAACGTGCTCATGGTCCTCGACCTTCCTACTGATATTTCTCCTCCTCCTCCTCTCCCCTCTACCTCTATTCTTGGACCTCGTCCAAATCTGCCCTCTACCAAAAAGGCCAGGTCTGCTGGTGAATCAAGCAAGGGTGGTAACTTGGTGTTCACCGTGTCTGAAGGAGATTCTTCTTCAGATGATTCTGCTGCTTCTGCTCCTCCCTCCTAGAAGTTCTTGTTGTCAGGGGGAACTTCTTTAGTTTCATTAGATCGTTTGCAATGAATGCCACTACTTGGCAGTAGTTTAGGGGGAACTAGTTAGTACTATTTCCTTTAGCTTATGCTTTCCTTAGCTTATGTTGTCTTTAGCTGTTCTGAGTATAATCAGGACTTATTTTGAATGTACTCCTGTTGCATCTTCAATGAAAATTTCAGTTTGTTTTTCGAAGGAGTACTGCTGCGTCTTGTTTGTTTTTGTTTCAGGTGCCTCTCGGACGAAGGGGGAAATTGTTGAACTATGACGTCTCACTCAAGCAAATGGAAAACGACGTCGTCCTTCAAAGCTCTCACAAAACCAAACCTCTGTCGTTTCATGCTCCTACACAACGTTTCATCGCCATAACCGACCATTATCCAGATCTGCTGGCCGCTCGCTTCTCGATCATCTCTTTCACCGCTTCGCTGCTCTGATATAGAAATACACCTCTCTCGAAGCTTGCAGAAACCATCACCGCCTCTACAGAGACTAATGATGATCACAGCCTTGATCATCATCCTTAGCTAACGGCTATCTCCATCTCGTGTATAAATAGTAGGTTCTTATCTCCTTTTAAACTTGGCAGTCTGTAATAGAAACATAGAGAAGTGTCTTCTATTGCTTTGGGTCCGTGGTTTACTTCAGTAGAACAAATCACAGTGTTGTAGTATTGGGTGTTTTGTTCTTGGGAAGTTTGTCTGTTTGTTCAAAGAGCCAATTCGTTGGCTTGGCTCTTGTTGTTCTTTTGAGTTCTGTTCTTCAAAATAAATAATAGTATCCATTTCCAAAAGGGGTGTTTCTATCGAGTGTGATTGGGTTTACAAAATACATTCTTGATTCACACTCTGATTTCACAACTTGGATTTTGATTTTACCAAGGCTCGTCCATGATCTAGCTATGGAAAGGAACCAATGCATTGATCAAATAAAGCCTCACCCGTGAAGAAAAACACAGCATTATATCAGAAGAAGGTGGGGATGACGCCAAGTTCATATGTTCCTCTTTATCAGTTGGGTCAGCCACTCACATGTTCTAGTGGCAACAATAGGGAGCAACGACACCTAAAACATCAGAAAAAATTTGTTTTGTTACTTAGTTTCAATGGTCTCTTCGATGAGCTTTGTGTAATTAATGGGTTTAATCGATTCCATCCATTTTAAGTACTTTGAATGTTTAGTTTGGTGGCAAAATCATCCCTATTTTCTCAATACCATCCATTCAATATAATTAGTTAATTTTTTATGTAAGAGAAGAAGACAACAATCATGCATACTTAGAAATAGACAACAATCATTCTATCACACATGATTGAAAGAAATTATTTGTCAACAAGATCTTCTATGCGATGCGTATTTAAATGTCACCCACCTCGAAATCAATAGATCCAATATCACACAACATACCTCATAAAAAACGTTCATGCAATCAACACCTACTCGATTTCAAAGCTTATCTGACACTTAGCACGTCGAGAAAACGAACTCTCGACTCTTGCTGTTACAACCGATAAAACGGGAAAAATAAATTTGATAATGGATAATGTTGCCTCCCTCTGCCGACCAATTTCCAATGCATAACAAAAATAGGAGTGACCTATAACCATTGGGCTCTTTGTTTTCTTCCTTTCGTGGTCAAATTGGAATCTCTCTAATCAAAACCCTAATTCTATTGGCTAAATATTAACCGCTGCTTCCTTATCTGTAGGGTTCCCCACCGCCCTGCTTCTTGCCAGTTACCATTGGTCAACCGATTTCTCTTGAAATATATTCAGTAGTGGACTCAGAAATCTAAATAAGATTAAGATTTTACCGATTTTTTTATTTTCTAGATTTTTTTATGAATTTTATATATATTTTAAAGTTGAAAGAAGGTTATAGCACCTCTCAATATCAACTTAGCTCCGTCACTAGATATATTATTCACAAGGTTGGATAGGTATTTTGATATTCATAGTTTCATACTTGTTTGCAACAAAATATAAGTCAGACATGTTCAACCGCGAGTTGAGGCATAACCGAAGTGTGTTGACATTATGATAGCATGTGGTTAATTTGAGAATATCGGACTTCGCGATGCATCAAAATGAACTAATATTAGAGTCATAAAGTGATTTATTGAAGTCAAGATACATAGATGAAATACAATAATATAACGAAACAGAGTTCCAAAGGAACAACATGCCAAGAGTTAATCAGATACATTATAATAATAGTGAGAATCAGGACTCGTCGATGCCTCTTTTTGTCGTTCATCTAGGTTAGGCAACAGTAATACTCAATAAATTTTGCTACGTTGAAAACTGCCACAATGTATGCCTCAAATTACCACTAGAATCGACCTTACCGAACAGATTCTTTCTCTTCTCCTAACACCTTAAACTCTTAGTAGCTAAAAAGTGAAAACTTTGAGAAAGACCCGCCATGGTTCTGTCGGTTCAAAAATAAGGTGGCAAATTAACCTTTATGAGATGGGTACGTGTGCATGGCCATTGGGGGTGCACCTTCGTTTTCCTACGTACTGACTAAACCCTAATTTACATACGAACTTCCCAAATCCCAATCCAAGTTTCAAAACGGATAATGCGTGGAGCTCAAGTCACCCAACCATAATCGAGATTAAGATCTTTGATTTAAATGTCCAAAACGTAATTAGGTAACAATTATCTTTCCATGACTCATATCCTACAAAGATTGTTAAAAGGGAAGGAAAAAAAGCCATTTATGTAAAACTTTATACGGTACTAAGTTAATTAGATTTAGTTGGGACCCTATAATAATTTCGAAAGTGATGAAAATTAAAAAAAATCACACATCATCTTCTTTTCTCTTCAGTACTCTTTCAATCGAGTTCGAAGTTTATAGCGAAAGATTAGTCTCACCTAATTAAAAATTAGAATCGGAATCCCCTATTAAATGGACGATGACTTGATATTCAAGTAATTATCCATTTTGATTACCATTGTCTTAAACTAGGAATTTCCTCTTACCCTTTAATCCTAATGTGATAAATCCACCGCCCAAAGATTATCCACTCCTTCCTCATTAATTACCGTAGAGAATTTTGGTATACTAGTTCACTCTAAATTTTTTGCTTATTGTCAACTCAATTTTGATAAAATGAGTGTAGCGTTGTATTTTGAACTTAGAGATTCTCATTTCGAAGCCTTCAAAGCTCAATCTCCTTCTGTACCATTAAAAAAAACATTTTTTTCTTTTTTTTTCGAATAACTTTAATAATTATTTCTTTATTATATACATAGAACTTACCATTTGATGATTATAATCGTCATCCATCATTAAATCTCATCTTATCCACTGATTTCCCCTTCCATATTCAAATGTAATTAGAGGGAAAGAATCCAATAGAGATTTTAGATTGCCCTAAATAAGGATTTTCACGTGATTATACTAGCAATTATTATTTTACTTATTTTCTATCTCCATTATTATCATAGTGAAAACTATTTGATTGCCACGATAAGACTCCATATTCGAGTCATCCTCAACCACAAAATTTTCACATACTTTTTACGATTAAATAGACAAATCGAAATTACAGGCTCCTTTCTAAACTACACGTAATCTTCGCCGCCCTCATATGTATACGCCGATGTCTGCCATCAGTAAAATGTTACACCTAACAAATTTTTCATATCATCAAATCCATAATCTAAATTGTCAAATAAGTAAAACTATAATAGATGGAAACACAAAAAAAAAAAAAAATTACCAAAACGAGATTAAACAGCTAGCTAGTCTTATCACCAAAAGTGCAAAAAAAAAAGAAAAAAAATTACAACTCAATAAAAACCTTCCCGACTAAAGTTCTTTCCTACTATAAAACCAAATCCAAAATCCCCGCAAAGCGCATTCCACATCCTTCAAAAACACCTTCTCTTCCAAAACCTTAGAGCAAACCATGGGAACCCTAGCAGCTTCACCGACGTCGCTGGCTCCTCCTCCTCCGCCACCGCCAAAAAGACCACTGAAGAAAATCGCCGCCGTCGCCTCCATCGCCGCCGGCATCCAGTTCGGGTGGGCACTCCAGCTGTCCCTCCTCACCCCTTACGTCCAGCTCCTCGGCATCCCCCACAAGTGGGCCGCAATGATCTGGCTCTGCGGCCCGATCTCCGGGATCGTGGTCCAACCGCTGGTCGGCCACTTCAGCGACCGCTGGACCGGCCGGTTCGGCCGCCGGACCCCGTTCATCCTCTCGGGGATGGTCCTCGTCGCGGTCGCCGTCCTCCTCATCGGCTTCGCGGCCGACATCGGCCACCGCTACGGCGACTCGCTCGACGAGGGCCGGCCCAGGACCCGGGCCATCGCGGTGTTCGTGGTCGGGTTCTGGGTCCTGGACGTCTCCAACAACATGCTGCAGGGCCCCTGCAGGGCCCTGCTGGGCGACCTCTCGGGCGAGAGCCAGCGGCTCACCCGGTTCGCCAACGCGCTCTTCTCGTGCTTCATGGGCGTGGGGAACGTCCTGGGCTACCTCGCGGGAGCCCAGGACGGCCTCCACAAGTTTCCGCTCTTTCGCTTCACCGCGACCCAAGCCTGCGACGTCTACTGCGCGAACCTCAAGTCTTGCTTCTTCATCTCGGCCGCGCTCCTCATCTTCCTCACAATTATCGCCGTCGCGTATGTCCGCGAACAGCCGTGGGACCCCAACAACACCGAACCATCAGATTCGAACCTTGAGGCCAACAACAACAACAAGTCAACTTCAGGAAAAAGTGGTGGTACCACAAGCGTGTTTTCAGCGTTGAGAAATCTGGACCGTCCGATGTGGATGCTCCTTTTGGTGACGTGTCTCAACTGGATCGCGTGGTTTCCGTGGGTCCTATACGACACCGATTGGATGGGGAGGGAAGTGTACGGCGGGAGCTCGCAGGGGGATCCGGGTCGGGTCAGGCTATACGACCGCGGGGTTCGGGCCGGGTCGTTAGGGTTGATGATTAATTCGATCGTCCTCCTCGTCGTTTCGCTCGCAATCGATCCATTGGCGGGGAAATTGGGGGTGAAGATGCTCTGGGGGCTCGTGAATTTCGTATTGGGGGTTTGCTTGGTGATGACGATTGTGATCACGAAATTGGCGGAAACAGAGAGGCGGAGGGGACACGGCGGCGGCGGCGGCGGAGTCGTGGGGCCGTCGTCGGGGATCAAGAACGGGGCGCTGGCTGTGTTCGGGGTTTTGGGGCTGCCGCTGGCGGTGACGTACAGCATTCCGTTCGCGATGGCGTCGATCTACTCGCACGGCTCCGGCGCCGGGCAGGGATTGTCGCTGGGGGTGGTGAATCTGGCGATCTGCCTGCCGCAGATGGTGATCTCGCTCGGGAGCGGGCCGTTCGATGCGGCGTTCGGCGGCGGAAACTTGCCGGCGTTTATCGTCGGGACGGTGGTGGCTTTCGTCAGCGCGATCTGCGCCGCTACTCTGCTGCCGAAGCCGAAGAACTCGTCGGGAAATTAGTGGTGATAATTACCGATTAATGATAATATTGTGTGTGTGTTTTTTTTTTAATTCGAGTGTATAATTTTTCTGTTCTTTGTCCGGCTCGTATTAGTGTGTTAGTTAGAGGATTATTGATGCGTTGTCGTTTGGAGTTTTCCCGATTTTAATGGGAGAAGAGGTGTTATAGTGTGGTACTGTGGTTTATAATGTTTGAGGCTTTTGATTATCCTACAATGTCTATTAATGGGTTCTTTACGTGTTCATCTTTAATTGTGTTTTGATGTGATGTACGAGTAGTTTCATTGTAGGATTTGTGGGGATGCGAACGTCTTGATTTATCATAAGTCATTATAATGGCCAATTGACATTATTATGAATAAAACTGTCACGAACTATTAGATTTGTGATTGATACCTTCAATATCGATATTATTCATCAACTAAAGGGTGCACTCAAATGCCATTGCCATGTGTAGGGAATTTAAACAATGAAAACTAGCATAAAACAACAAAATCGAAAACTAAGATAATTTACTACATATTAGAGGGGAAAAGGACTCAGAATAATTTGTGTGATTCATTAACCTCAAAATCAGTTGATAATGGTAAAATGGTTGTTATAGTGTGTTAGTAGGAGGATTATTGATGCATTGTGGTTTGGAGTTTTCCCGATTTTAATGGGGAAAAAGTTGTTATAGTGTGTCAATTAACGAGTTCTTTGCGTGTTCATGTTAATTGTGTTTTGATGTGATGTACGTAGTTTCATTGTAGGGTTTGTGGGATGCGAACGTCTTTATTTGTTATAACTTATAAGCAATCATAATGGTCAATGGACATTATTATGAATAAAACTGTCACTGACTATTAGATTTTGATTGAGACTTTCGATATCGATATTATTCATCGACTAAAGGGTGCACTCAAATGCCATTGCCATGTGTAGGGAATTTAAACAATTAAAACTACGTAGAACAACAAAATCGAAAACTGAGATAATTTACTACATATTAGAAGTGGAAAAGAACTCAAGAATAGTTTGTGTGATTCATTAACCTCAAAATCGGTTGATTAATGCTTGGTCATTTATGGAGTGAAGTTCTTGTTTGTTTTTTTCTTATAAATCGGAACAATACAATTTATCAAACCAAATTCAGATTACTATTAGTTCAATCGTTTGGAATAAAGTTATAAGTAATGAGGATTTGTTCCAATTGACATTGAATGTAACCAGCAACATCAAGAATTTGACAAAGACCCCTAAAATAGGTTTTGGTACTATAGACGAATGCCATATTACACATCACCATCAGAATGAATAACATTGAGAGAGAGATCTATCTCAATCCGTTTCAAAAGTAAGAAAACCACGTCGAGAAACCGACGCAAAAAACAAGTTATTATTTGAGACAAACATATGGAACAAAATATATGGAATTAGTGTAAATTACTTAACCGTAACTGTATCTCAATGTAGTCTCATGGGAGGATTCATTGAAATGTAACTTCTTGACTTATTATACACAATCATAACACGACTAATTTGCCATTGACACAACATGTCGAATTCTCCTTGAAGTATGTAGTCAAAATTGATTTAGAATCAACGTTATCGTGAGTTTGAAAACTGCCACACCGACTACTAGATTTTTGGTTGCGACCTTTGAAATAGACATTGTTAATCAAATAATCAGTTCTCCTTGAAATATGTAGTCAAAATTGATTTAAAATCAACGTTATCGTGAGTTTAAAAACTGACACACCAATTACTAGATTTTTTGGTTGCGGCCTTTGAAGTACGACCTTGCCTTCAATTCGACAATCCAGCAAACAAACAAACCAACATCGTATCAAAACACCAAAAGCCAATTACACACCAATTCACTCAATAAAAGACCAAGCATTGCCAACCAATTCTGTTACAAATGACATGAATCTAAAAACCAGCATCAAGACTTCAATAGATATCAACTAGTATATATTAGGGCATTTAGCACAACACACAATGACAAATTTATCTCAACTCGTACCAAAGATAACAAAACTCATAAAGTAGATTATTCTGGTAATCATCGAGATCAATACTACATTACACACCAATGAGAAGATCCGTCGTAATCAGTACCGAAATAAACAATATACATTAAAAATCATACACAAGAAGCAAGTTATTACCTAGGGAGAATTTGAAACACTAACTAACCATTTCTTTGTGACAACATACGATAATGATAGAAAAACTTAGTAAGTTACATCGATTCTCATACCAAAGCAACAAGATAATTATCTGTCCGAGGGTTAGTCCATAGACACATATGATCAAATAAAATTCGAAATACTAGAGAGTAGACCATTTAGTCTCATGAGAACGACATATAACGATGATGATCGAAAAGGCTTACCTCGACTTAGATAAAACGAGGAAATATATGGAGCACAACCCTGTAGTACTTGATGCCAACCATACATACTTCCATTACGACGAAAAATCTACATATCCGAGAGTTAATCCGAAACTACCAACAACATACATCAACAAAAGATCCGATAGGACTCTCCCACATTAGAAAGTTAACCCTAAATAAAACCCTAACCCTCGAAACTCTATATGAATTCCCGATCAATCATAATACCTTCCTCCTCCTCCTCCCCAATTCTGCCTCTTCACCAACTTCATGTTCAAGAACACGAACCCTTCCGCCCTACACTCCCCTCTTTCGGCCCTCACGAGCCCGAACCTCCCGCCTTTTTCCTCCCCCAGCTTCGGCACCCTCACCTTCGCCCTCCCGACGACGGCGTTCCCGCGCGACGTCCCCGGGTCGGGCACCGACTCGGCCCACCCGTCCCGCTCCACCTCCACGCTCAGCGTCCCGTCGTAGTTCAGCGACCCGACCACGACGGGGATCTCGAGCCTCTGCCTCCAGACCGGGCTGGTCCAGGTCCGGACCGTGCTGGTCCAAACCTGATCCGCCGGGTCGACCCACAGATTGAGCCGGTAGCACCGATCGTCGGGGCCGACGTCGCCGTGGTCGGCGAAGGAGTCGATCTCCGCCGCCGAGCTGACGTCGACCAGCAGCGTGAATTCCCTCCCGTGGTCGATCACTCTCTTCCCCTGCGCCCGCTGATATCGCCGGGACATTGGGTCGGGCGTCGGAGTCGCTTTTTTTTTTTCTTTTTCTTTCGGGGTTGGGTTGTTTTTCTTTTATGTTTTGAGACTTTGAGTTACAGTGTGGCACGGTTAAATATATATATATATATAAGAGGGGGACAAGAGAAGTAGTAGAAGTAAAGACTAAAGAGTAAAGAGTGAACTAAAAGAGGAATATTCATTCTCCAATTAAGGTAGAAATCTACCGAGTAGAAAAGACTGCACCATCAATATAGGCAAAATTCTTAGGTTCTCCCACTAGGGGTTGGGAAAACGGTTGCGGTTTCGTGGTTAAACATGAGGGTGGTAAATGGTTAGTTGTTAGCAGATAATTCCAATATATTTTTTTTAGTGGTCGGTTTTGGTTAGCTGTATTTTGTTTAGTGGTTAATATAAAAATCGATAACCGCCTATTAGTATAATGACATTGTTTTGGACTTTTAGTTAAAAAGGAAAAGTCCCAAGATTAATTCAAAACCAACCAAAGTAACAATCCCAAACATTCTAATTTACGCCTATTGCAAACAAGCCTCCTCCCAAATTCTCAAATATGTTTAAGAGTTAGAACTCAAAAGTCACCTCTCTCTCTGACTCCACTTTGCAGTCCCTCGCGCCCTAGTAGTCTTCGTTTATTTGATGTTTATGGATGATGATGATCTTGTGGTGCTTGTGTTTCATTTCTTGCTAGTTGGTACTCGCTAGTTAGCATTTGATTATTTGTAATATTATGTGTTTGAATTTGGAATATTTATTCACAATAGGTGTTGTATTGGATTGATGTTATAATTATTTGTATGATTATATTTTAGTATTAAAAAGGACACCACATAGAATTTTTTTTAAAAAAAATATTCTTAGGTTCTCCGGGAGTAGGGGTGAGAAAATGGTTGCGGTTTTATGGTTAAACTTGGGATGGTAAATGGTTAGTTGTTAACTGATAACCCCAATATTTTCTTAGTGGTTCAATTTTATTTAATTTTGGTTAGCTGTATTTTGTTTAGTGGTTAACCGATATAAAAATCGATAACCGCCTACTAGTATAATGACATTGTTTTGGACTTTTAGCTAAGAGGAAAAGTCCCAAGATTCAAAACCAATCAAAGTAACAATTCCAATATTTTTAATTTACACCTATTGCAAACAAGCCTTCTCTCAAAGTCTCAAATATGTTCAAGAGTTAGAATCCGTAAGTCACCTTTCCCTGACTCCACTTTGCAGTCCTTCGCATCCTAGTTGTCTTTGTTTATTTGATGTTTGTGGATGATAATGATCTTGTGGTGCTTGTGTTTGATGCCTTGCTAGTTGGAACTCGCTAGTTGGATGAAGACTTTTGATTATTTGTAATATTATGTGTTTGAATTTGGATGATTTATCCACGACAGGTGTTGTATTGAATTGATAATATTTCCTATAATTATTATTTATTTAATTTATTTTTTATTTTTGAATTTTTTGTATGATTATATTTTAGTATTAAAAAGGACACCATATAAAATTAAAAGAAAAACATTAGTCACATGTGGAGGTTGTTATTTGTTAGCGTTTAACCGTCGAACTAACTGCTAATCGAGCCGACAACAAATGATTAACCGATAAGCTCTATCAGTTCGGTTATCGGCATGCATTTTTTACTTAGTGGTTAAACACTAACTACCATATTGGTTAGTGGTTAATCGAACCGATTAGCACCCTTAATTAAACCGAAACCATAAATAATAAGCGCAATTTTGGGGTTAAACCAAAACCAAAAAGAATCGGCCAAAATATGTGATTGATAGATTTCAATATTGGTGAATAATAGATCTCAAAAGAATCAGCAAAAATATGTGATGGATAGCATTCAAAACAAGTGAAAAATAGATTTTCCAAAAATTGGCCAAAATTTGTGATGGATAACCTTCAAAATCGTTGAATAATAGAATTCGAAAGAATTGGTCAAAATCTGTGATGGATAGACTTCAAAACTGGTGAAAAATACCATTTCAAAAATCGGCCAAAATTTGTGATAGATAGCCTTCAAAATTGATGAATGATAGAATTCAAAAGCATTGGCCAAAACCAGTGATGGATAACGTTCAAAATCGGCGAATAATAGCATTCAAAAGGATCGACCAAAATCAGTGATGGATAGCGTTCAAAATCGTTGAAAAAATAGCATTCTCAAAACTTGAACAGACTCTGTGATGGATAACATTTAAAATTGGTAGATAGCAACATTAAAAAAATCAATCAAAATTTGTGGTGTATAGCCTTGAAAATTGGTGAATAATAGCTTTCAAAAGTATCGGCCAAAATCTATGATGGATATCTTCAAAATTGGTGAATAATAGCTTTCAAAAGTATCGGCCAAAATCTATGATGGATATCCTTCAAAATTGGTGAATAATAGCATTCAAAAGAATCGACAGAAATCTATGATGGATAGCCTTTAAAATCGGTGAATAATAGCATTCAAAAGACTTAGCCAAAATTAGTGATGGATATCCTTCAAAATGGGTGAAAAATATTATTCCCAAAAATCAAATAGAATCTGTGATGGACAACCTTAAAAATTGGTGAATAATAGCATTCAGAAAAATTGGCCAAAACCCGTGATGGATAGCCTTCAAAATTGGTGAATAATAGCATCAAAAGAATCGGCAAACTCTGTAATGGATAGCCTTCAAAACCGGTAAAAATAGTATTCCCAAAATCGGCCAAAATCTGTGATGTATAGCCTTCAAAATCGATGAATAATAGTAGTCAAGAGAATCAACCAAAATATGTGATAGATAGCCTTCAAAATCTATGAAGAATAACATTACCAAAAAGTGGACAAAATTTGTGATGGATAGCCTTCAAAATCAGTGATAATAGTATTCAAAAGAATGGGACAAAATCTGTGACGGATAGCAATCAAAACCGGTGAAAAATATCATTTTAAAAATTGGCTAAAATATGTGATGGATACGCTTCAAAATCAGTAAACAATAGCATTCATAAGAATCGACAAAGATATGTGTTGGATAGCCTTCAAACTTGGTGACTAATAGCATTGAAAATAATCGGAAAAAACATGTGATGGATAGCCGTCTAACATGTGAAAAATTGCGTTTCCATAAATCGGCCAAAATCTGTGATGGATAGCTTTCAAAATTGTTGAATAATAGCATTCAAAAGAATCGACCAAAATCTGTAATGCATAGCGTTTAAAATGAATAATAGCATTCAAAAGAAACGGCCAAAATTTCTGATGGATAGCTTCAAAGTCGATGAAAAATATCATTCCCAAAAATCTGCCAAACTTTGTGATGAGTAGCATTCACAATTGGTGTAAAATAACATTCAAAAGAATCTTCCAAAATCTGTTATTAATAGCCTTCAAAATTGGTGAATAATAACATTCAAAAGGATCAGCAAAAATCTGTGATGGATAGCCTTCAAAATCGATGAATAATAGCATTTAAAAGAATCGACCAAAATCATTGATGGATAGCCTTCAAAATCAGTGAAAAATAGCTTTCAATGGAATCGGCCAAAATTTGGGATGGATTGCCTTCAAATTGTTGAAAAATAGCATTCCCAAAAACTGGCCAAAATCTGCGATGGACAGCCTTCAAAATCGCTGAATAATAACCTTCAAAAGGATCAGTAAAAATCTGTGATGGATAGCAATCAAAACAGGTGAAAAATAGCATTCACAAAAACTGCCCAAAATCTATGATGGATAGCATTCAAAATCGGTGGAAAATAGCATTCAAAATAATCGGTCAAAATCTTTGGTAGATAGCCTTCAAAGTTGTGAATAATAACATCCAAAAGAATCGTCTAAAACATGTGATGGATAGCCTTCAAAATCGGTGAATAATAGCATTCAAAAGAATTGTCCCAAATCTGTTATGGATAGTTTTCAAAATCACTGAATATGGCATTCAAAAGAATAGGCCAAAATTTGTGAAAGAGGCCTTCAAAATCGATGAAATAGCATTCAAAAGAATCTGCTGAAATTTGTTATTTATATCCTTCAAAATCGGTGAATAATAGCATTCAAAAAATCAGCATAAATCTATGATGGACAACATTCAAAACCAGTGAAAAATAACATTCACGAAAAGCAGCCAAAATCTGTGATGGATTGCCTTCAAAATCGGTGAATAATAGCATTCAAAAGAATCGGCCAAAATCTGTGATGGACAACATATAAAATTGGTGAGTAATATCATTCCAAAAAATCGGAAAAAATCTACGACGGATAGCTTTTCTAAATCATGACTAATAGCATTACTTAAAATCATAAAACATTTGTGATGGATAGCCTTCAAAATCAGTGATTAATAGCATTCAAAAGAATCGACCAATTTTTTTGATAGATAGCCTTCAAAATAAAAAAAAATAACATTTAAAAAATTTGGCCAAAGCCTGTTATGAATAAGCCTTCAAAAGAATCGCCCCAAATTTGTGATGGACAACCTCTAAATACAGTGAATAATAGCATTCAAAAGAATCGGTCAAAATCTGAGATGGATAGTCGTCAAAATCAGTGGAAAATAGCATTCAGAAAAATTGGTTAAAATCTATGATGGATAACCTTGAAAATAGGTGAAAAATGTGATTGATTGAATGTGGTAGTTTGCATTAATTAGGAGAGTAGTTCAAGTACCAACTCTTCAAAAAAAAACGTAGCTACAAAATAGGAGCCTCTAAGCCACTAACTAAACTAATTACATTAATTAAATACAAATGATTTAAATTAAGAAGATCCCTTATCAAGCCCCCCGCAAAATGGTGGCGGGTACTACACCAATTTTGGACCGAAGGAGCTGCAAGTGTGTGATCGGCAGTGGCTTAGTCAAGGAGTATGCGAGTTGATGGATTGTGGGAATATGCTGAACATAAAGATCCTTCATCTGGACGAGGTCACCTACCAAGAGGTAGTCGAGAACTAGATGTTTCATGCGAGAGTGATCGATCGGATTAACAAAGAAGTGGACAGACCCAAGATTTTCACAGTG